GGCGTAGGATCAGAATCAGAATTAACAAAAGTATTATGTGACACATTGGAGGCATTGGAGGTAGCACGCAGACGTAGCTCCTCCCGACGGCGACTTCTCTCTGTTTTCGAGAGAGACTTCCGTAGGAATACTCCTCGCTCAGGGAAAAACCGCAATCTGGACGCTCTACGAACTGCCAAGCGTTGGAAGTACCTGGTAGGGAAAACGACCTTGAGTAATCTCATTCTATCCGCAGTTGGACGTCCTAATCTATAAACGGCTGAGGGGGCACATTCTACCTCAAGGTGACAAAGAATATTAAGTACACTATTGTAATCGTAAGACAACTTTCTTCTTACAATGAAATCTTTTAACTCAGGTATTCCCGCTATAACAACAGATCTTAGACGTTCCGACTCGTAACAATCGATAATGTGGGGATGGGGAGCACTTTCAGTGTGATCATCAACAACCTCAGAATCGGTAATGGGAGCATCCGGGGCAATTCCTAACTTTTGGCGAAGAATGGAATTCTCATTACGAAGTTGATCTCTCTCACGCTTAACGTCGTCCAATTCCTTGACCAGAGCACTAAAAGCCGTCTTGATGCAGTCCGGTACCAGCGGGAGGCGTAAACATCATGCATCACATCATCCAGGCACGGTGACTGCGTCGGCGGGGAGCCAGGGGAAGTCGCTGGGCAAGATCTCTTAGTCCCTTTAAAAGCACTTCGAACTGGGGTGTTCAACATCGATAGCAAAAGAAGAATAAAAGAAGAATATATGGCAATAAACCTGTTCCGGCGACCCAACACAAAACTATTGATCACAGGGCCGCTTGTGATCTCCGCTCAATAACGAATAATCCGAACTAAACTGGATAGCAAATAGCGGATCAACGTAGGCGAAGAATAAATGAATAGATATCAGCTAGCAGGCTGAATAGCTAACAGTAACTAGAATACGCCTAGTATCGAGAAGAGTACATCCAGAGTGGTAACGGAATGCCCAAGCAGTAGAAGTGATCGATGACACGGGAGCATATCACACCCGACCGCTCACGGGCAGCGCAGAGAGCGGAATGCACTGACTGAGAATCTTTCAGTCAAAATAATTCGCCAAAGGTTTTGGGACCCAAAATCTCACTCTAAAGAGCGATAAAACATGATTTCGTCCGCCGTGCATGTTCGTGACGTGTATTTCGTTTATTATTAGGATTGACGTCGGTTGAACTGCCGGTAAAGTCTCTTAGATTCATCTCTATTCGGCTGAAGAGTTTTCGGGAAAGCTCTACCTTTTCTATTGCTTCCTCGCTTGGTTCTGCTGTCTGCTGCTAAAAAGACGTTATCGACATAGGTATTGCTCAGAGTATTTCTTTCGAGAGTTCTGCGCCCATCCTTTTGGGGAGTGTGGCTGTGGCCATATTAGAATACTGGGAGACGCTTGTGTTCAAATGGGAGTTTTTCGAATCGGTAGTGTACTATAATTACCGGGCTCGGGGGTTGGTAAGGGTCTCTGAGCCATTGGAATCGTAGTAAGTTGCGATGCTCAGTAGTGATGCGGATTTGGGTAAATGCTGCTTGAATGTCTGCGGTGATAAGTATTTCGCACCAGCGGCTCATAGTAAGTATGCCCTGGTTTTTGTGTGTGAAACTTTCTCCAATGTGCATCACAGCGTTGAGTGGAAGTTTTCCTTCTGCTTTTAATGAAGTATCGAATACAACTCTTAATGAGGTGGGTTTTTCTTCCCTCTATACTCCTGAATGAGACAAGTAGGAGGTGATGATGTTGTGCTGGTACTTTTCCTCGTCAGGGATTTTTTCGATAATGTCGTTATCTTCGTACCCCTTTAGCATTTTGATGTACCTTTGTCTATGTAATTCATGAGCTCTGTGGAATTTGAAAAAAGCATTCAGTCTTGGTGCTGCGACGCCATAATTATTTTCAAGCTTCATCATGTTATCCTTGAGGAGGGAAGGAGTTGTGATTGTTACGTTTTCGGTAGTTATATGCTTTGAGAAACTGTCCAAGTAGCTGTATGCAGTGTCATCATTGTTGTATTCGTCGGTTGATATGCCCATTCCCTCTAGTTCGTACATGTCTCTGAGTTCTTCAATTTTGGATATCAGCTTTGGACATACGAGCATGTGATGCTCCTCGTTTGGTTTGTTAAACGGTTTGTCGGACTTGCCCAGGGAAGCAGGCACAAATGCTGTATGCTATGCCAGAAGTCCAGAGGGAAGCCTAGTTGGGGCAGAATCGAGGAGTACTATATGCTCGAACGAATCTACTCCTACTAGTATCAACGGTTTTATAGATTCCCATTAGTCGCCGTATTGGGAAGGAAGATGTTATTCTCTTTGAGGAATTGTATGTCAGAGTTTGACAAGGTAGCTGCTGGGAAAGCTCGGTTAGCAGCAGTTTCGCTATCAGACTCGATGAAATATTGTCTCCGAACCTTGTCTTGAAGACAGCTGTCACTTGATGCAATAGGTATATCTCCATGTTTCCTTCGATGCCATGCATGGTGCACTGGTATGGGTCTCCTTTGTGAAGTCCGAGCGATTCTGCGATGCTTGTTTCGATGAGGTTGCACTGCGCTCCAGAGTCGAGGAAAATCAGGATGTGCTCGAAGATGCCAGTGTTGTTGTTTTGGATTTGGCCTTCTGCAGTAATGAAGACCAGTTAATTCTTGGAGCTCAGCGCCTTCATTCGATGTGAGAAACTTCCTATATTAATTCATTCTTCCTTTTTTCAGTTGGAACAGCTGGAGATCGTTCTCACACTTCGCTGTTTTGGTGACGAGGCAAAGTTTTTGTTGGCTGGCTACTGAAGTGAGAAGATTGACTGTCGCGACCCTGACTCCAAGTGTTGTCGGGGGTCTTGGAAGTACGGGTTTGGTACAAAGGGACGTGTGATGGTCTCTGTTATATTTTGAGCAGTTTTCTGGGGGACATACTCGACTTCTGTGGTTCGATGCGAAGCATTTCCAACATACTAATTGGCCTCTTGATGCGGCCCTGCGTTCTGGTGCAGTTATCACTGTGCGGCAATTCTTTGTTTGATGGTTACTGCGGTAGCAGAACAGACATAGCTGCTTTGGAACAGATCTAGGATTAAAGGAATCACTGGAGGTTGTGTGGCTTGTTGAGAGTGAGGCGATTCGTTTTTCGAGGACTACTCCAGAGGAGACTTCCGTATTGAGTTCGTCTAATAGGGTGCCTACTGTCAATAGTGGATCCTGTGATGTTCTCTCCATAAGTTCTTTGACTATATCATAAGGAAATTTGGCGAGAATGGTGTCAATTTAGATAGGATCACGTTTTCTCAATACGACATATCCTGTAGCAATCATTTGGTGTACGAGGTCGTTTATCTTATTGAGTGTTTCTGCACACTTTTCTGCTGTAGCGCCTTCTTTAGGCAGGTGCAGCAGTTTTTGCACTTTTAGCGATCTATTATTGCCTTTATTACCAAACTTCCTCTTCAATATCTCGACAATTAATTTGTAGTTGGATGTTTTCATTAGGATGCTTTTTATTGCGTTGGATGCTTTGCCACGTATTGCATCTTTGAGGTAGAGGATCTTTTCTAGTTCTCCGAGTTGCGTATTTTGGTCAACTATGAGTGAATAAGTAACCCAAAACTCTTCCCATGATTTGTTTTCACCGTCGAATTGAGGAAGTTTCATTAGTGGGTGTCTTATTTTCAATAGTGGGGAGAGTTCCATTAGATTGGGTTCTGTAAAGGGATAATTTTGATGTTGGTTGAGATTCTCCAACGTTCGTTTGCTCGCTTTGTCGACGACTGAATCGTCAGTGTCGTAATATTCGTCTTCGCTCATGTGGCCGGCATTATCGTGGCCGGAGCCTTCGTTGGTGAGGTGGGTACGATTCATATCTAGAAGAGCGATCTGTGTTCCAACTTCTCGTTTCCTGGCTTTGAGTGACATTATCATGTTTTCGGCTTCTTGCTTTATTGTGTGAAAATTGGGCCTTTGTTTGAAGCCGTTCATTTCTTGTAGCATGCTTTTTTCTCAGCCTCGGTTGCGTCTGCGCTTGTAGTCATGATGTCTTGATACACTTCTTTTACGCACTCAATTTGGTTGTCATATTGTGCAAAGCTATTTGCACTTCGCACAGTCTTTTGTGGCAGTAAATGCGGATTTCATGTTCTTCTGTTAAAGGCTGGTCGGGCTCCACCGTGTTTTTGTAAAAATCAATCAGTGTTTGTAAAGAGTTGTGCTCATGTTCTAAGTTCTGCAAGAAAAGTGTTATTTTGCTCATTTTTAGTTGAAACCGTCGTCTCTCTTATTCGTCTGGATAGGAGACTGGTTTTCGTGTGCCACGCGAGACTTGTTGGGTTACGGTTGGCCGATGAACCGGAATTCTGTGCGGGCTTCGACACACAAATTTTATTTATCAAGCCTTTATTGTGCGGCGACTAACGACTAACATATGCTGATAATGACTGACGACTAAATTGGGCAAAACGCGATTGACGACTGAAGGCTATTAATGACTGACTACTATCAAAGGCAAGGCACGACTGAGGACGCAAAGGCAAGGCACGACTGAGGACGAAAGGCAAGGAACAACTGAAGACTATAGGCAAGGAATGACCGTACTGTCTCCTCGGTCGTGAAAACTAAGGGCAGGAGGTGAAGCCTCCGCATGCTTTTAACATACATAAAACTATGAAAAGGTAGTGGCTATAGGGTCTGCTGCGACATCAGCAGGCAGATCCGCTCATTTGTTTAGTCTTATCTGATAATCCTTACTATATATAAAGCGCTCTGTCTGTCTGTCTGTCTGTTTGTACGGAAATTCGATATAACGTGAGGAAACACCTGGAGAAGTCGGGTCAAGTTTGGAATGAGTTGAGCATAGGGTAAGTGCAACAGAGCACATGTGAACCTGGCGGACCTCCGCCCCCAAGGGGCGGGGCATGCGCCAGGATTGGGCGGGGTCATAGACTAATTCTTCTAATTCGGTCTCATCACAGTCCAGACGCCGAGAAAAATGTCCAAAGGTGAGGGATGGGTCATCAACTAAAATGAAGGAAGCTTACTGGCGGTGGGCGGAGCGTTCTCGCAGTGGGCGGTACTTTTCACAGAGATTCATAACGCGATTCAACGAAGGCGTAGAGAGCAGGAAAAAAAGCAAGAAGAGTGAGCAAGACCTTATGCGGGTTGGGCATGCGTAAGCTTAGCGAAGCTCCGCCCACGGTGGGCGGGGCGTGCGTTAAGATGAAAGCTGCTTTTGACAATTAGTGTAACTTCTTTCGGAAACGTTCTAGAATGCGGGAAAAAAGTGGTCAGAGGCAATGGAACAAACGTGGTCAAATTTTCGAAGTGGGCGGGGCTATCGCCAAAGTGGGCGAAGCTTAGATCAAAATTTCATAACTCTGTTCAGAAACGTTCTAGAACGCGGGAGAAAAGTGGAAAGAGGTGAAGGAACAAGTGTGGTCAAATTTTCGAAGTGGGCGGAGTTGGCGCCAAAGTGGGCGGGGCTTAGATCAAAAATTTATAACTCTATTCAGAAACGTTCTGGAATGCGGGGAAAAATGGTAAGAGGAATTGGAACAAATGTAGTTAGGTCCTCGAAGGGGGCGGAGCTGGCACATGGAAGCGGGGCTAGAGCCAAAAATTCATCTCTTCAAAAATTTTTTGGAATGCGGAAAAAATGGTTTGGAGCAGTCAAAAGAAGGGTGGTCAAGTTTACCGTCGGAAGGGTTTGCACTAGGGTGGACCGAGCTATGATCAACCACTAATAACTTTGCTCAAATATATCGAGCGTGATGCTCTCAGCAGTTCAGCGTTTGAATCTAGAGAGAACTATCTTATTCTGATTATCCAACATTCCGCTGAATGACTCCATTGTGGATAAGTGGCCGTCGACATATACTGCGCGCGTTAGCGTGCATAGCCAAACTGGTGGTGTTATAATCACTTGAGAACATTAGTGAGTACTACTCTATTCTTTGGTTGCCTACCAGTTTAACCCTTAACGGTTCATAATTTTCAAGATGAAGAGCAACCGACTGACACTTTTGATCGTAGGCTTAAGCGTGGTCATGTGGTGCACTCATTGGCGTGCGTAGCCCAACTGGTATATGCATAATGTGCAAATGGCAAGGATTGGAATCGTAGTCACAACATATTTCCGATAATTGAGGCGATTTCTACTAGGCAGAAAATATAGCGCAGTCATTAGAAGATAGGTCAATGATGAGAATTCCATTAGGTGTATCAGAAAGTTCGTCGTTTTGGATGGTCTACTTTTAGACGCTCTTTTCTAAGTCATTTTTCGTTGCTCTGCTGTGGATAGTAAGCCATTTGAAAGCGCATTTCTTGCTCTTTCTAAATGTTGCATTAGCTTTGCTGCCTCATGGTGACTTCCTAGAGTGCAGAAGCTTGGAGAAAACATGAACAAACGACAAGTTTGCACCATCTTCCTTTTCCAATTCAAACTGGGCAGGAATGCAGAGGACACGGCTCGAGATAACAACATAGCGTTTGGTCCTAGAACAGCGAATGTACTATTGTACAGCGATGGTTCGAAAAATTCTGTAACGGCGACGAGAGTCTCGAAGACGGTGATGGTGGTAGTTTGGTGGTCAACGGCTGGTTTAATTCATCACAGCTTTTTGGATCCGGGCGAAACTATCACAGCTAAAAGATACTGTCAGGATATCGACAAACTGCGCCGGAAACTGCAGCTCTTGAGCCTGGATTGGTGAACAGGAAGGGGCCGATCCTTCTCCACGACAGCGCGTGCTCTCATGTCGCACAGACCATCCTGAAGAAATTGAACGAGCTTGGCTATGAAATTCTGCCTTCACCCACCGTACTCACCTAGCCTCGCTCCAACCGACTACCACTTTTTAGGCATCTCGACAACTTCATCCGCGAGAAACGCTTCTGCAATCGACACGATGTCGAATCGACTTCCCTCGAATTCAACGCTTCTAGATCTCCAGAGTTCTATGCAAGCGGGGAAGGCAAACTTGTTACTCGTTGGACAAGTTGTGTACATAATAATGGTTCTTATTTCAATTGATAAAGTTTTGTTTGAGCCGAGATACGTGCATTGAAAGTTGAACGTTGAAAAACGACAGAACCTCCTGAAATGCCTGATATTTCTCCCAACTAAAGAAACCACCTTTGCGCCCAATATTGACTCGAAGTGGAGAGCTTCAGTAATATTTCCGATCTGGGCTGCAAGTTGTCGAAGCTAGCTCAGCCCTTTCTGATGCTTACCCCTTGATCTCTTTCGGTACTTTTCCCGATCTCGGAAATTTTATCTCTGGGCACCTGCTAGTCTCTACATGACTTGTTTAAACCTTTGTAGCTTTTTTATACCTCTCTCTTCTACACACAAAGCTCACAAATTGCACGTTCATTTCACGCTGTTCAAGTGCTCTCGAGCAACTTGGAGTAGTAAAAAAATCACTTCCATGCTTTTTGTGGTGACTCAATTTAATGGCTAATTTTTAGCTGGCCTCCACTTCGTTTGCCTAAAACTCTAGATTACTCTCGAAGAGTAATACAAATGCTTGATCTGAGCTCCGCTGATTTAGTGCTCAGTAGCCCAAAAATTTCATTTTTTTCCCTTTGCCAAGCTCTGCCGAATTTTTTTTCGCTTTGTTGCCCCAAATTAGCTCGCCGCTGGGGTTTTTTTTACGTGGACAGTGCTCACTCATGTGTTATACGTAACTCGACGCAATCTCCACTTACTCCAAATTGACTGAACATTTTAAATTCAATTCCAAAGGAGGCATCATATATGATGATGGCAAGCAGGCAAGCTAACAGAGAAAGAGACATATGTGGTTCCTATATTGTATTGAATAGTAAGGATTGTTCTCCTTCTTTGCGCCTCCTTGCAACCGTGAACATTGGATCTCTCTACATTCAATTGCTTCTACACACCCCGTTCGTACTCTGGATAATTCTGAATAAAGCTCTTAATCGACCATGATCCACTTTCCCTTAATCTCGGCATAGCTAAAGTTGTTTTTGTGTTGGCTTTAGCCTTTTCGAGATTTAACAACTTTGACCAACTTACACTGCCTCGCCATCTTCTTAAAGCCTAAAAACTAGAAAACGATTTGGGATTGATCTTCACGTAACTCTATACAGTACTTGAAACAGTCCTGTGAACTAGTGGCCCCTCTGAACTCGATTAATAGAAGGCTAAATGGCTTACCTTGATCCTAGAGGCCAACCACTGAGACGACCACTCCCGAATGAAACTTCTGCGTTCAATAAGCAACCCTTCTCCTTTCTGACTCACCGCAGATGTCGAAGAGGGGTCACGAGTTACGGCCTACACTTTTCTCTTATATTGAAGAAAAGAGTTATGCATTTCCACTATTGCTTACCATTTTCGCGATCTTCGGGTCGTTCTGAACATTCTTTATGCAATCTTGCAGAACAGAATCACAAAGCGTAAAAGTCGGTGCGTTGTCACTAGTTATAAATGGCGGTAATTCCCTACGAAGCATCTGAATGAAAGCGTAGGTGGATAGATGTGAAGTGACGTCAAGATGGAGCAGGCGTGTGGCAAGGCAAGGGTTATACAGCCGTAACATTTCTTCGTTCATCCGTCTTCTCTTTTGATGGTTACTGGTCAGAAATAATCAGTCCGACATGATTAAACACATGTGATCGTGGCACTCGTCTCGAAGGCAAGTCGCTCTGTTCCGGGCATTTGAACGGTAGGCTGTTGAACCTTCGACTCTGAACACAGCGGCAAATAGCTACCGTAACTTGTGATCGTAGCTTGGAGATCCAGTAGTGTTGCCGGGTGAGTGGCATCGTATGATATGGTGAGGAGACCTTTGCTATGATAGTCGTTGATAATCAACTTCGATAGCCAAGACTTTTGCGAAAAAAGCATGAGAAACTTCGCCTCATCTCCAAGAGTACTGTTACTAACACGGCCCCAGCATAGC